TGTGAGGCACAAGAAAACTTTATTTATCCAAAGTTGAAATGTAACCTACTGACATTCAGATTTAAAACACTAATATATATCTACAGTATCATGTCAACTATAAACAGTTCATATCTAAATGCCTGGTATTTACCTTTACTGTTGTTGTCATTTTCTTTTGTGACTTTAGGACCATTTGTTGTTCCTACAGAGTCGACGATCAGAATCCGACCTTGGATCTGAGCAACTTTTTTTTTCTGCCGAACTTTCTCGGCAATGGCTTTACTTTCAAACTCGACAAAGGCAATACTGCCGGGGGGGAAAAAAAACAAGAAAAGTGATGCAGCTGTTTTCAAAAACGTCCAATAAATGCATAGTTTTATTTTGAAATAAATATCAACAATGCACTTACAAACTGTATACATGTTTTGCACATCTGCCACAGTCGTAAACATAGTGTGAAAGTGAATGCAGGTGTTCAAAGCCCTCACCCTGTAGTTGGGCCTTCTGCTCCTTCAGGAAACCGGACTGTGACGGCCTTGCCAAAGATTTTTAAGATGTCTTCTTTTGTTGCGCTATATGGGATGTTCTTCAGAAACAGACATTTGGCATCTCTGGCTGCTATAAACGGGATATTCCACGAGTCAGAAAATCAGTAAATATATCTTTAAAATCTGCTCAGACTTTGTAATGTTTTACATTCAACTGTCATCACATCATAAACACATAATTACACCGTTTAAAAGGAAACCTAAACTTGTAAAGTGAACACACTGAAACTATTTTAAATAAAAAAGTTAAATGTTTACAGAACTTAAATTCATGTGTAGCTAAACGTACCTTTTTGGTCCTCGACTGGAACTTTGCTTTTCACCTTGTTCTCACTTTTGACTTTTGCTTTGGCGATCTTCATCGGCTTGCCGAGCATCATTTGTGAGTTTAACGTCAAGGCTTTGGTCAAATCCATCTGTGAGGCCAGATCTACATGTGCGTGTTTTCTGCAACAGCAAAGCATCATCACCTTTGAGTTCACTCACGATCTTATTCATGAGCAGCATTCACTCTGAGCAGGGGAGTCAGTCGATGTAGAATCTTCACACTAAAAATGTTCAAAGTTGAAACACTGTACTCACCTGGAGCGGTCTAGTTTGATGTCTTGAACCAGGAGACTTTGTGCCATGAAGTGATTTGCTAATGCATCTTTGATTTCCTCGAATGTTTTAGAGTTGTTCAGGTTGCCGACATAAAGAGAAAAACCTACAGAAACAAAAAGGCAGACACATGTGTAAAGATGTTTCCCTTACCGACAGGAAAGAAAACATGCCGCAGTGTGTCTTATTCTGAGTTCTTACCATCATTCATAAGCTTAGTTTTCTTTGACGGTGAAGTCTCGGTAGAGTCTATCTTCCGTTTCCCTTTCACAGAAACAGACAAAACAAACATTAGTGAAGTGGTACAACATCATCAGTTTTGACACTATCACAGAATACTTTGAGCCCCACGTGCAGGAACTCTTTCTCACCTGATAGATAGATAGATAGATAGATAGATAGATACTTTATTGATCCTGAGGGAGATTCAATGCATCCAGTAGCAGGTTACAAAGACGTACATGACATGAAACATTTGTTACAAATTAAACCGCAAAACCGACGCCCCCCTCCCATACATATATATTAACCCGAAAAAAAGATTTAAAGAATACCCCGAGATGAAAACAAACTTAAACTGTGCAATTAAAAATAGATTTATACAAGAAATGTACAGAACCCGTGCAGGGATAAAAATATATGTGCAGTTTAAAAGAGAACCTTTAAACAGATGAGTCAGAGTCATAGTTGAGTCAGATATCATTGGGGTTAAGATTGCTGTGAAACACGAGTAAGTATGAGCTGGACAGTGAAATGTGTAAGACGGTCGCTTTATCATCACCCTCAGATTATTCACTCTTGAAAACACCCTTACCTGATTTCACTTCAGCTACAACCTCTCCACCTTCACCATCTGTTTCTTTATTGACATCCTCCTCGCTCTCTCCTTCCTCTTCCTTCTTCTCCTCTGTCACAGTTACTGCAGGTGTGCTTTCATTCTCTTCAGTGACTGTGTCCATCTGAACATCTAAAAGATGAAGTCCAATTATTAACGTCGCTCAGAAAACAAAGCATCTTCAGTTCAGCAGACAACATCAGCTGGAGCGTTGCTGTTTCCTCGTCCCAAACATAGTCCCAATCGTCTTATAAGACAGTGAAAGGCTGCAGCTAAATATTTTCTTTTACAGCCTCCATTCAATCAATCTGTCAATCTCCCTGCTATTAAGAAAGTACTTCTGATTCTGAAGCTTTAAGAGGATGAGTGTGACACACTTAAAGACACATTTTAGGTTGAAGTATGTCTCTAAAACTAAAACATACAACTTCAGTAACAAGAAACACATCATTTGATAACAAATAAAAACAGTGTGAGGGATTAATAACTTAATCTTAAGAATTGAGTTGTAATGTAACCCTTCCTGTAGACATGTTTCACATACAGTATGAAGGCCTGTAACTCACAATAACCCTGTTACTAACAAACACCTTCAGAAGCATTTTAGGATCTAAAACATCATCTCAACTACAAAGTATGTTATAAACAAGTTCTAATAGAGAACAGATATTCCTTTTCCAACAAAAAAATAATGTGATGCAACAGTAACTCACAAGGCTTGTGATGAACACACTTACCAGTATCAGCTGGCTCACTTGCACTGTTTCCCTTTTCTGTTTCATCCGGCTCTCCTTCCTCATTCTTCTTGTCCCAGGTCAAGGTCACGGTGGACTCGCTTCCTTTGACCACAATGACCGTGTCCGTCTGGGAAACTACAGATGCAGCTTTGTGAGTGACAACGTTGAATATGAATGACCTGCCCCCTGATTGGCCCAGAGTCCAGATGTATGCAGGTGGCACAGTTATCTACAGCCACGCTAAAACAGTAGAGCAAGCTGCTTCTAAACTCTCTACAGGATTGAGCAAAGTATGAGATACAGTAGATTCACTCACCGCTGCAGAAACATAGAAAACACATCTCCGGAAATGAATTTTAGACATGTCAGGAATCAATTAGCTGTAGCCACTGCTAAGCCCTTTACGCACTTAACTTACTGTGTCACAAGCAGGCAGGACCTTAATAAACTATCTTCAAACAATGTGTTAAGCTTTTGAGACCAACACCACTGTAACATCTTTCTAAAGTCTAGTTTATTGACCTTTGACAGTTTTCTTTGTTTTTCAGACAAGTGTCTAATGTATAAATTAACCCATGATCAGGCACCACAGCCACTTGAACAATGTGTGTCCCTGTGCAGGAACTCTTAACTACAGAAAGCAGGGCATGGTATAAGGTGACTGTAAACACTAGTTTCAGACAATCAGCATGTTCAGTAAGAGCCACAGAAAGGTGGAACTTATTTCCCACCCATATCAGATATTATTTATAACAAAACAAGGAAGGCTCAAGAGGAACCAATCACATGATCACTGATTTAAAGCTTTGCATGATTGGCGCTGAAGAGAATGCAGTGTAGTTTGTAATATGTGTTTTTTTTTTTTTTATGCGATATGCTGTTTGTGAAGTTTGAATTGTTAGCATTGCAATGTTTGTCTTTTAGATATTCCTGTCCAGGGAGCACCAGCTGTGTGTCGTGGTGTGTCTTCATGTTTAAAACACAGCTCAGCATCACAGTTGTACATCAAGTGGGGTATATTTGCTGCACCTTGCTCATCTTGGACCTCCACTCCTTTCCTCTCAGTTGGAGCATCCTCCACTGTTCTGACCATTTCTTCCCTCACAGTCTCAGGTTGTCCTTCTGGAAAAGATTGACACGTTTCACTGACATGATCACGTCAAAACAGACGTGTTCACTGGAGTAGCCTGTTGTTGCAAATAAAAGACTTACCAGCTTTAACAGTGTCATCTGCTTCTACAACACTGGTGCTTCCTTTACTTTGTCTTTTGCTACGTCTGGTAGCCTAAAAGAGACAAGGACACATATTGAGAGTATGATCGTGTGTGTCTGGTGAAGTCTCATCATCACATGTGAACCAGTGTTACTCTCCCCTTCTACTTTCACAGCTAGATTCAATTCCTAATTCAACATCGAAAACTGGTCGCTTACCCATAACCTACATTAAAGCTAAATGCTAAAATGTGGCTCTGCTCGAACTTCAAAACAAACTTATCAAATTGTCCGGAAACATTTCTCAGCCTCTATGTGTTAGCTAGCTCGTTTCAGCTAACGAGAAAGTCACCAAACAACGATTAGCTCGAACAACCTGCTTAATATGACTGTAAGTTATTGTAAAGCTCATTTCTTTACCATCTTCTGCGTTGAAAAAAGAGCTCACAGTTTGAAGCTGGTACAGTTAACACGTGTGCTGCGCTAAAAACATCCACATGCCTCTACTCTACACGACGCACTGCGCATGCGCTCTCTGGACTACGGGTGCCCGCAGGACTTCACGCTTTGCATTCTTCTAAAAAAAAAAAAGAATTCCGGCAGGACGTACACTGAGAAGGGAAGCAATTCAACAACACGCTTTCTAAGGAAATTCCCCTTAAAAAAAAAAAAAAAAAAAAAAAAAAAGACGCTCCAGTTTTTGGGAGGGACTTCTTATAATACGGAGACCACGCAGTGAGTAATCTATTAAGGGGAAATGCGTATTTTTTTTAAATTATTTTTAGACATCCAAGTGTTAGCAATTAGCTTGACTCTTACGAGAGGCAGCTCCTAACTTATTTGAGCTGCAGTGCCCTTCACTGTACTCAGGAGTAAGTAAACAGAGCAGCGGCATGTGCTGCAGAGGAACTGAGCCCGGTGGGTTCCTACACATGTTGTGTCTCTGTGCGAGGACCATAGACTGTCAATAACAAGGTGAGGACCATAGACTGTCAATAACAAGGTGAGGACCATAGACTGTCAATAACAAGGTGAGGACCATAGACTGTCAATAACAAGGTGAGGACCATAGACTGTCAATAACAAGGTGAGGACCATAGACTGTCAATAACAAGGTGAGGACCATAGACTGTCAATAACAAGGTGAGGACCATAGACTGTCAATAACAAGGTGAGGATCATAGACTGTCAATAACAAGGTGAGGATCATAGACTGTCAATAACAAGATGAGGACTATAGACTGTCAATAAAAGGGGGGGGACCTAGAAGTAGCAACGTGTTGACTAGAACCGGTAAAACTGGACTGGCCGAAGGTCGGCAGGGTTTCAGCATCGACACTGCAGCTCACCCGGCCGGAGCAGATACGGTTTCATCGGGTCACATTGTAAAACCAGACTGGAACATGACGAGCTGACTTCGGACAACAAAGGGACCGGTTGTGATCATCAAAGGCGGTTAGTCTACAATGGGGAGTCAGAGAAACAGTTTAAAGACGGAAAGCTTCATCTTGTCCGTGGATGTCGGAACAACATCGATCAGATGTCACGTCTACGATAAGGAGGCACAGATCCGAGGATCATGCAGAACCCAGGTATTAATCACTTCCCGATGTATACCTGTTGCCAATTTGCACGTCTCAAAGTATACACAATCGTGCTTGATCATGTGTCTATTTCTTATTGTGCAATACTGTGTCCAGGTTCAGCCCTTGTACCCAGAAGTGGGCCATGTGGAGATGGACCCTGATGCCTTATGGAAAGGGTTTATCACTGTGGTCACAGGAGCTGTACAAGGTACACAGTCAAGTATTTCCATTCTTTCATGAATCAAAACCAAAACCAAGGAGTTCAGCTGAGTATGTTTCATTTTCACAGTTAGAAGGCAAATCCTGTATTCACAGTGTGTTTTGGATATGTCAAGAAAAGATTCTTCTGACACATTGGATTTGTACTTTAGGCACAGTCTACTAGCAGTACTGAAATAAATACCGTCCTTACCAAGCACACACTTCTTGTAGCATGTTAAGTTATTAATGTGTTAATTTATCTCTCTGTTTACCGTTGAGGCTGTAGCCTGTTGTTTTATGTTCCTTGTTGTCTTTGTGTATAAAACTACTCCTTGCATGCATGTTTGAGCAGCTTCCCTAACTGACTTGACCGTTTTCAAATTCATAAGTCGACCATGGCTTTATACAAAAAAAAAAAAAAAGAAGATATTTAGCCCAAAACGGGGACATTTGTTTCCCATGCCATTGTTGTGTCTGTGCTCAAAAGCCACATTTGCTTCCTGTTTCTCACCGAAAAACAAATTTAAATTGTGTGTTTTGTTTTTGTGCCGCTGTCCTCGTGGTTTAGATGCAGGAGTACAGATGTATCAGATGGAGACCCTTGGCATCTCCACCCAGCGAGGAACTTTCACAACATGGGACAGGTAAAATAAATGCATTTTTATCTGATCTGCGTTTTCGCCAACCCTCCTAAATCTGCATGATCTTGAGGCAAACTTACAAAGAAAGACCGTCAGCACCGTCACGTTAACATTTCTCTCTGTCCTGCCTTTTCCAGTTCAAATGCTCTCTTTTATTATGACAGGGATACTGGGGTTCCTTTCCATAATTTTATCAGCTGGCAGGACCAGAGGGCTGCAGACCTGGTGAGGTCCTGGAACAGATCCTGCACCATGAAAGTGAGTCTGAATGCCTGTCATTCACGTTGAGTGGGTACGTTTGCAAGTTAAAAGGCATCAAATGAAAAGTGGTGCGTCTATATTATACAAATGCAGCTGTGGTTTAAAAACAGTAATGAAGATAACATTCCTTTATACTGGATGACTTTGATTGTTTCCATGACAACCGCAGGCAATCCATGGCTTGATGAAGGTGCTGTACTTCCTGACCAGACAGAAGAGGTCACTCGCTGCGAGTGTGATAATCTTCTCCACTCAACACGTCACTTTTCGCCTCATCTGGGCCCTAACACACTACAAGCAGGTGTGTGTGTGTGTGTGTGTGTGTTGACATTTAAACATATATTTATATATATCATATTTACTAGTCTGAATCACTGTTGCTAGTACTTTGTGATAATATAAAAACAACACAGATTAAAATGAGAAAGAAAAGAGATCTATAAATTGTAAGCACCAGTAAAGATCAGCAGTTAATTTGTAAGACTACACAATGAACACTTTACACTAACAAACAATTTCCTTTGTGGATTATATCAAACAATCATTCATCCGCCGACAGATCATTTGTTTAATGCTTCATTTCATTCATTGAGAGTTGGGGTTCACCCTGAACAGGCTGCCAGTCAAGCAAAGTACTGACATATAGAGACCTCACATGGGGAATGAAAAGTCCCCAGATAATCTGAGGGCACCGACACATGCACGAGGAGAACATACAGAAAGGCCTCTGCAGGCAGGTATTTGAACAAAGGAACCTTTGTGTCCTCATTAACTTGTGCTTCACTGTTTTGCACACACCAACAGTCCAAATCTCAAAAGTACCATCGACAACGACGTCGCACAGAGAGAAAGCAGAAAGTCTGTAGAGCTTTACTTTGAAAAATGACTCGATCAAATCATTTAGTCATAATCTTATTATAAAGATTGATGGACTATATTTTTTCTGCTCCCCACCTGGACTGGTAGCACCGTTGAAAGCTAGATGGTTACTGACATATGTGTGGTGATTTGTGGTCATTTTCAATAATTATTCCTCTTTCACAGAATACCAGAGTGAACAATCCTCCTGTGTGTTAAAGGGTTGAGGGGGGGATGGGGGGGAGGGGGGTCAGGTAGTAGCTGTATTATTATCACCAGATCCCTTGTGTGCTCATTTCTCTTTTCACCCTCATCTTGTTTTTGTTTTTTTTCTTCTTCCAGGTTCGTAAAGCGGTAGCTGAAGGAAACTGCTGCTTTGGAACAATCGACACCTGGCTGCTGTACAAACTCACTAAAGGTGAGATTGGCATGTGAAGCTTATGTGCATGCTCCCTCCCTATTAGCACAATATGCTTAGAAAACAGCTTGGAGTAACATATGATTAGTCGACGGGTTTGCATTTCACATAGTGACTAACAGGGTTCAAAGTCCTGGGCTGTTTGTGCTTTGTGTTTCCAGTCTTCTTACATCACTGGTTGGATGAAATCCCTCAGAAATGTTTCAAGCTTACTCCTGTAGGGGGGGGGGAGAGATTGGGGAAATGTTTTTGTTTTTTTTCTGATTTTGGAAATTTGTTTTTTGATACCCCTTTTTTTTGTCTTCAAAACTGTTTCAGGACGCGTCCATGCCACCGACTACTCCAACGCCAGTGCAACAGGAATTTTTGACTCCTATCAGGTGAGGCTTATGTAGTGTTGATTTGCATTTCTGTTTAGTTTTCTGTGTGTGTGAGAGAGAGTCTTTTTGTCATATTAATGTCATTGAACTTATTTCACAGATGTGTTGGAGTGGGTTTCTCAGCTCTCTTGTGTCTCTGCCTCTCTCGATATTTCCCAAAGTAGAAAACACGGGGTGAGTTAACCATTTCCAGTTCTATCAAGACCTAGTCTGTATAGGCATTCATATTACCACAAAAACACTTTGGTCAACATTCGACTGATTTAGTTAGTTAGAATAGGTTGTCGCCAGTTGTGATTATGAGAGGACGGATGATTTTAGAGTGTGATGTGATGCTCTGTCCGGTTTCTCTCTCAGACATAACTTTGGCTCCACAGACCCGTCCATCTTCGGAGTGTCCATCCCCATCATGTCAGTGGTGAGTTGTCCAGGTCTGTGGCCTCACACACACTCTTATCTTTGTGATTGAGATGTAAAAGTAATAATTATAACCCTTTGATTCGAGTCTATCAAGTTCGTATCAGAGCAATTATGTTGTAAACAAAAAAAAGAAAAAAGAAAAACGAGTTAATCAGCAGTGCTGTTGAGCCAGTAGCAGACTGTTAACAGAGCTAAAAGGATGAAACACTCTTTTCTTTTACCTCAGGATTAACTGATTGAATGTTCCTCACTGCTACTTCATGTTAAATAACATCCTCTGTCTCTCTGCTATAGATGGCGGACCAGCAGGCAGCCATGTTTGGAGAGTGCTGCTTTGACGTTGGGGATGTCAAGATCACCATGGGAACAGGCACCTTCATGGACATCAACACTGGAAGCAAACCGCACACGTCTGTAGCAGGTAAAGCAAAAAAAAGAAACACACATTATTGTCATCATATTCAGATCTGTCAATACAAATCCACTACATGTCAGTGTTTGCCTTAACATATTTCACTTCGTTTCTTTGTTCTTCTGTTTCTTTTTAAGAGAAGGCCCAGTAGTTTTAAAAAGTTATTTTTTACCATCCTGCAGGTCTGTATCCTCTGGTGGGCTGGAAGATTGGCTCAGAGGTAGTGTACCTGGCTGAGGGAAACTCAGCAGACACTGGCACTGCTATTAAGTGGGCTCAGGAGCTGGGTGAGTGATCATTACTTCTGCTTTTATCTTTGTCACAAGGAATTGTGGCTGCTTGTTGAAAGTGAAGTCTGGTTTATTTATAGAGCACATTTCAGCAGCAAGACAATACAAAGGGCTTCACACAAGATATCAAAAGCATCAAGACAAAGAGAGAAAAATAAACATCTAAATGATCCAAAAGAAATACAGAAATATGACAATAAGCAGAAAAAAGGCATTAAAACACAAAATATATAAAAACAACCTTAGATGTTTTCTACTCTGCGCCTTTTAATGTAATAGTGCTCTGAAGTCCCCCGACTGCACAGTCTTATCTTCCTGACGGACACAGATTCACCTGCTGGTCTAACCTAATTGAGATTGACTCAGGCTCACAGTTTGCTCTGTCTGTGTTCGTGGCTCAGCCCCAAGGGGCACCCAGGGGTGCTGTAGTGGAGAAATCCACTCTGTCGTTACAGTTTAACATTACACCAATTTATTTTCGAGAATTGTGTTGGGTCGGTGAATAAAAGTGAACTATGAGTAATCAGCTCTGCGTACATGAAGAATCTGGTGCTCTGAAGTCACTGAGCACAGATTCACCTGCTGCTCGCTGAAAGAAACAAGTTATGCATTAAAACACTGTACACAGATGAGTCATCGGAGGATGTTCATCTTATCCTCAAAACACTATCAGCCAGCAGATTAAGAGCTAATTTGTGTGTGTGTGCTTGTTTGTGTGTTGCCACAGAGCTCTTCTCTGACGTAAAGAGCACCAGCGCCATGGCATACAGCGTCAGTGATTCAGGCGGTGTGTGTTTCGTCCCCTCCTTCAGCGGCTTGCAGGTAGTTGTGTATAAGTGCAGTGTGCATGTCTGTATGTGTGTGTTGGGTGGGGGTTGTTGCTGCTGTATTAACTCAATGATGAAATCACGAAACATCACTGTGGATTATTCTACGGTTTAATCGGGCCGAGGTCAGACAGTTACAACAGAACACAAATTGTTAACAATCACAAACTGACAAAGTTTCTATGTTAACAGACTTGCTTATATTCTGCTAGAAGCTACATCCTACAAATTCTTGGCTACTTTGGTACATCTCTATAAGGCAAGAAAGAAGACATCAGCTTGACTCTTTAAATGTCAGACATATACATTTCATTCTTAGCAAACCTTCGCTCACAACACAGTCTTCTCCAAACCAAATATAACTCTACAGCGATGAGATGTTTTACATAGATATGGTTACAGCTTCAACCTAAGAGAAGAGTTACTCTAAGATGGTAGACAGATTTAAAGATATATCCACAAAATGATCAAGATGAATAAATCCATGAAAATACGTACTTACAGTGTGTCAGTGACAAATGTATTCGCTTTAATGTACAGCAGGAATTTGGTTTAATGTTTACACAACCTTATTCACTGAGGATGTCCCAATCCAAAACAGGATTTCTTTCTAAGTAACAAAGTGCAAACTTCAAAAACATTAAAAACATATCCCATGTAAACACGTGGCTCACAATGATGCACAATGATTGGCTCTGCATTTGAGCTGTTCCTGAATCTATTTTGTACGTCAAACAAAATAACTATGTCTCACATAACAACATCACATAAGTTTTTTCTTGCATTCTTGCGTAGCCTAGTGGTTAGTGCATGTGCCACATGTACAGAGGCTATAGTCCTCCAAGCCGGTGGTCCGGGTTCAAACCTGACCTGTGCCTCCTTTCCATGTAATGCCCCCGATTTCTGACCCTATCCACTGTATAATGTACAATAAAGGCATAAGAAGCCCCTAAATGAAACTTAAATAAAACTAGTCCACACAACCTACATGAACCACATGACATTATTTAAAAACGTCCTTGATCACAGACAATAACGATATTCAGTATCAGGTTGGACATTCCTAATATTCATCCAAAGCATAACAATAAGTTTATTTACTCTCATATATTTTGATTTATATCCGATAAGTACAAAGATTTGCTCAACTTTTTTCTCTCTCTGTAACATTGTTATTTGTCTCTTTTTTTTTCTTCTCTGCCCTCCATTGTGATCAAGCCGTTGTAAGTTTGTGTCCTGAATGTTTGTTGTAAACAGAAAGTAAATAAGATGTGATTATCAGTTTTTCAAGAGTAGTATATAGTTGTAATAGTAACAGCTGCACTGTGCATACTTATATATACTTCATTTATCCAAAGGCTCCTCTGAACGACCCCAAAGCCTGTGCCTCCCTCATGGGCCTAAAACCTTCAACCACCAAAAATCACCTGGTCCGAGCCATCCTGGAGTCTATCGCCTTCAGGTGAGATCACCTCCTTTTAAATGACTTCAATGGTCTCTCTCATTAATAACTATCCAACTTACTTGTGTACTTTGCAGAAACAAGCAGCTGTATGAGCTGATGCTGAGAGAAACTCACATTCCTATCACAAAGATCAGGTACAGTTTTATTAAACCAATGTGTGAATGAAAACCTGACTGTAGTTATATCAGTGTGTCCATGAGACTCCACATATTCATCTCACAGCTCTGTGATATCCCAGCTTGCATTGCAATATCTGATTGAAGGATTTGGACTTTGGCCAGCACGCTGGGTGTAACTGAGTGCACTCTTGTGTATGTTGCCTCTACTAATGCAGTCCAGCAGTTTTATTGGCAATGCATTATGGATATACGTTTCTGCTTTGATTCTCTTACAGTAAGTGAGTAACAGTGTAATTGAGTGCCCGTTTTTTCTGTCTCAGGATGGATGGAGGAGTTTCCTCCAATGACTTCGTCATGCAGCTGACTGCGGACCTTTTCGGCAGAAAGGTGGCCAGACCTGAACACCATGAAATGTCGTGTTTAGGGGCCGCATTTGTCGCTGGACTCGAAGTTGGTATGCAAACACTCACTAGAACACAGCATGTACATTACGAGGGATGATGCACTCAGAGTTGCAGGTCATTAGTTTGTATCCATGAGTTGTCGTGTGAAGCTTTGTGATGTGGGGATGAATTGAGACGTAGCTTTGTCAAACACTCAATTTTACTTTTACTGTCTTTATTTCTGTAATATATATATATATATATATCGAAATACTCAGTCGTGACATTGAGCTTCATTGAAGAAAGTTAAGATCAAAAATCCTATTTTTAGTTTTGGAACTGGCAGAAGAAGCAAAGTGAAATGTTCTCTCTGTTATGTAACCTGTTTTCCATTAATTATTCAAATGATGTCATTGGATTTTTATCTATTAGTCAGGAAGTAATTGAATTAAACACTGAAGATAGATGTGTTGTTGTTTTCATAACAGGAGGTGCTGGTTCCTGAATATTAATGTGAATCAAGGGTTTGAGGAAAATACTTTTTAGTGGATCAGTAAGCAGTATTGTTACACGACGTGCAAAGAAATCTCTACCTTCATCACTGGCAGCCCTTTTGGTGCAGATTTGTAGAGGTCAAATCTCTCAGGTGTTACACATTGTTAAAGGGTTTGGGTTTATTATCGTTTGTCTTTTTTCATCCCTGCAGGCTTCTGGAAGAGCAGGGAAGAGCTGAAGAAGCTGCAGAGGACCGACAAGACTTTTCTGCCTAGAAGAGCTCCCAAAGTTGCCCAATTAAATGGCAACCCAAATCGGGAGTACCCTCCTGTCCCCCAGAGCTGGGAGAGAGCCCTCAAACGCTCCATGAACTGGTACAAGACCTAAAACTGGACAGGCATACAGTCAGGAAAATCCAGGGTTTGGACAAGAGGGAAATTATGGCAAGGTGAAATGTCAAAGGTCCATAGAGGTTTAACTGCAATCAGCTAGCTTCACTTGAAGTATTTTCCATGTACATTATTGTTTTAACCTTTGACCGTTAACTTGCAGCGGCCTTATCAGATTCTTTATTTCATTACATATTTTTCAGCCAAAAGTACCTCCTTTTTTACATTATTTAAACTGTTATGTATACATCTATCTATATGTATACATCTTCCCACATGGGGGCGCTATTGCTTTTGCAGCTCTTTGATGTATAAACTCTGCCATAGCAACCACATGCTAATCAGCAACCAGTCAAACATTGATATTACATTCATACATGATCCTCTGTGAGGAAAGAGCTTGACCTTTCTGTTCATGACGGCTCGAGCCCCGAAACAGGAAGCATCATCATTAAAATCTACACAGCAATACTTATTTTGAAATCTACTTCATCTTTTCTTATTTAACAATGTATTAACAAAAAGAAGTAGTTTTTCAAGGATAACATCAAATGATAGATTTTGTCTCTAAAACAGCACTTAAACTCATCTTAACACTGAATACAATGACTGATTGTGATGATGATTTGTTTGACTGTAACTGGAACGCACACCTGCATGTGCACGGGAATCCAGCTGGATCTGAGTGCTTCTGTGATCCATCACACATCTCTCTCTGTGAGTGTAAGTAAGTGATGGACTTTTTGCTTTGCCGAAACAGCTTTCATAAATTCATGTTGACTTAAATTTGGCTATGAAGCAATTTTAAAGTGTACATGTTTACAATAATAAATGTATTGTTTAAGAACAAGATGATCAGGAATAAAACTGAACTGGCCTCAAATAGCAGTACAGTATGGATGAATAGGAATAGATATATTGAATGTGACTGTATCTTGTAGTCATTATCTGACTTGTTGGTCCGCGTTTTCAGTCATGATGATGTCATGTGATGATATCTGAAATATTTTTCTTTTGAAGGATTTTTTCTTGACCTAATGAACTCTGTTGATGAACTACAAATACTTGTATAAATATACTATGACTGTCATTCTAGATGTGGTATTCTTGCTGTTAAAAAAACATGTTCCACTTTTCTTTATACTGTAATAAAATTTCTAAATACAAAAGATTTGTAATGCAAAGCGTATTTGTGAATAATTCATCAGTTAACACCTTAGCATTCATGTTCTAACACTTCATAATTTAATTGTTGAATGGCAAACGTTATCCTGAGCTGCAGAGAAACAGGTAATTTATACATTTGCTACCAAATTTCATGAAACTATGACGGACTTGAGTATGGTATTAAAAAGATTGATGAGAAGTTGCATGTGTTGATTGGAGTGTGGCGTGAGCACGGCCGGTGTCACCGACATGGCCAGTGAACAGATGCTGTCTAAACGATTTTACCTCCTCACGCACTCCAGGGAAATGCCATTTGTCTTGTGACTGGGGAATTATCAGAAACACAGGCTGCTCAGATGAGTGCAGGGATTGCTTCCCATTGATGTGACCAATCTGGCTGTGATGGTTGCTATGGCAGCTCTCGGATGGAGTGACTCAGAACAAATGGGGTGTGTTTTCCTTCTCATGGTGCTTGTATGGTGAAAGGGGCGCTAATTGAGTGCACAGAAAGAGGGATTTCCCAAACAATGTGAGGACTGTGTGCTTGTCCCTTTAGAGGAAGAGCAGAAATTCGCGAAGAGATATACAGTAAAGCCTTTTTGCACAAACCCCTCCTCTGCGGCCTGTCAATCAAACAAGGGCAGTTTTTTTTATCTAGTGGGCTTGGTTTGTAGTGGGATGCCTTCACAGAGAAAAATGTGCTGGATTGAGACAGACAGGAGTAGCCCATGAATCAGTGATGCCAGCTCTCGCACTAATCAGTAAAATGGCTGTGTTTTCGTGTGTGTGTGTGTGTGTGTGTGTGTGTGTGTGCTGGTATTGTGTTTGGTATCCGCATTGTATGAGTTGTGGTGGACCCTGCCTTGCAACAAATTCAAACTGACAGCAGGAACTGGATGCAATGCGACCACGGCTCTGGTCCCCCTCCCCCATACGAGCTGAACCCTGCATCAGGGGTCATTATATAACTCCCCTCTCTCTCTCTCTCTCTTTCTTCTGTTTGTGACACACTGGGGTTCTCTGGAGTGTCAGGGGGTTGGAAGTTAAGCTTTTGTCTTGTTTTTTTTTTCATCCGGTAAGTGTCCCAGCTGCCTGAATACCTTACTCCATCTATCTCAGCTCAGCTCACTTTAGTCAGTGGCATGACATGCTGTACACGTGCTGCACACAGCGACAGGGCAGAGGCTTGAATATGAGGGATAGTAGGGATTTACTGAAGCTCATTTATTGATATGAATGTATGAACAGCTGGCATACTATGGCAGCTTTGCCCTATTCCCACCAAGAAAAGTGTTGTTCTCTGTTAACTTTGACACATCTGTTTACAGTGCACACTATGCGCTCTCTCTCTCTCTCTCTCTCTCTCTCTCTCTCCACCCCCTCCCCCTCCCCCTCAATTTAATCCAATTTAACTCAAAGGACTTTATTGGCATGAAAGTTTCAAGAACAATGTTGCCAATGGGTCACAGTACAAATATCTGAACAGACACACTGTGAAACGTTATTATGAGAAAAATCACATTAGAATCAAAAATATATTGATATAAACTTGATATAATATCCAAGTATGTGGACTTGTTTGTGTGCTAATGAATAGTTTGTAGGCTATTTAAGTATAGATGAATTGGTACAGTAGCCGTATTGAAATACCCCCTCCCCCCTATCTGTTTAACAATTAAATTCAACTTTAATCTAAGAGCTTCTTTGGCAGGAACATTTCAAGACAATTTTGCCAAAGTATCAAAGTACAATTTGACATACATGCACACAATAATTATAATACAGTAACTCTCTCTCTCTCTCTCTCTCTCTCTCCCTCTCTCTCAGACACACACACACACACACCATTCTTTCAGCAGTGCTGGATTGCCATAGCAACAAGGATTGGCTAATGCTCCAAATATCTATGCTGAACCAGTCAGTTACAAATAGCATCCTCATGGGCCTCAGATATTCTGATCACTGGCATTTACTTAAATATAAAGAAGTGTGTGTGTGTGTGTGTGTGTGTGTGTGTGTGTGTGTGTGCCTTTCTGAGGAGAGCATTTAAAGATAACATAGGCCTACTCTTGCCTACTGGATTGGTTATTGTTATGTTGACTCAACGTGACTCTGAATGACACATGATAATGAAGAAGAAGACAGATATGCCACTTTAATTAGAAATACAAGTCCACTACTGGGGTGCACCTCTGTCACGCTCAAAGAGGGGCTCATTTGTCGTTTTGATTGTGTTTTCTGAAGGATCCCCAGCCGGTAAACCTTGGATGAAAAAATGGAGACCTTGGTCTGTTCCCCTACACTTTGCATCTATTATATTATAACTGATGATAAGAGCGATTTGGTGCGCTCTATTTATAATTTGTGCGTCTCCGTGCGTCTCTCGTAATTAGCCAATGTACATCCATCTGCTCGCACTGCATCAGCTGCCACGGCGGGGCTTGTGTGCGCGTCACAGATTTTTCTCTTCTTTCTCATTCCTCACCTTCCCCTTCTTGATTTTTTTTTTGTTCCAGCAGAACATCTCTCCTTCTGCTCTCCCTCGCTCTCTCCTCTCTTGGTCTCTCTCTCTCTCTCTCTCTCTCTCTCTCTCTCTCTCTCTCTCTCTCCCTCTCTCTCTTTTTCTCTCCACACCGCCCACTCCACTCACCGCCGCCTCGCCGGCTTCTTCTTTGCCTCCCTGTGCACATCGCCCGCTGCCCCCTTTTCTGCGTTTTTGAAAGGGATAATAAGAGAGCGCAACATTTTTTTTTGGACCATAAAACCAACAACAGCACAAAAAGACAAGACAAAAAGGCATCACCATGGCGAGCACCGAGGATAAACCGGCCAACAAGGAGAACACGTCCAGCTGGAAGGACTCCATCTACAACCCGAGGACCGGGGAGGTGCTGGGTCGCACGGCCAGCAGCTGGGGTAAGAATCCCCCAATTTATACAGCATTCAATTAGAAGACGTGCTATGACATTCACGCACCTAATGTGGCGTCTTCCGTTTCCTCACAAAGCTTACATAGATGCGTCCCTCTTGAATGTAAAACCTACTTTTATATTGCTGTGCATGGATGGATGAGGCTACAATGACAGTCATATAGATATTGTTTCAGCGGAGGAGCCATCATTGGCCTACTTGAAGGTGTAAAGGAGAAGCCTGTACCAAGAGGGAGATTAATGATGCTAGGAAAGGTGTGCTTCAGCCCATCTTTGCTGCATAGACAGAAATAACCAACCAGGTGACCATCAGTTAAACAGCAGACATTTATTTTTAGCTGTATTTATCTCCTTAATATAAATGATTATCAAGATTCTATAGTAGAGACTCCATATGATAAACCCCCCCCCCATTACCTAATCATCCATAAGGACTGTGCTACAGCATTCCTGAGCTGAATGTATGTCTCATCAGGCCATACATTGTTTTATGTAATGATTGCCTGGCCATTTCCACGGTGAGGTAGAAACACAGCTTGCAGCCGGCTCCTATAGGCTCGTGCGGTGCTGTCGGGCTGCTTGGGCCCCTGTGCTGCTGTGCAGTGGGATGCTCCATTGCAGTTGCATGGCCGCCCACATTAGCATGCCTGTCAAGGTCAAATGGGATTCCCCTCTCTCCTCTTTCTCTCTCTTTCACCCACTAGGCAGGTGCATTGTGGGATACTGTTGGAGAGGAAGGAGAGAAAGGGGAACTGTACAGCAGGAAGCTGAGGGGTCCATCCCTTTTTTTTCTTCCCCCCCTCCTATCAACTTAGAGGGCATCCATGCTGTGCAGGCTGGATGGTTGTGAACCATTTTGAGTCAGATGTTTCCACAACACAGCTCTATTTTCTCACCCACCCTTTTAAATGATATAGATTAGGTTGTCCCTAAATCAGGTGGGATTCGAGTGAAAATGGGTTCAAATTTGTTAGCGTGTTAGCATCCCCCCCCCCCCAATCCAAAATGGTTTCTCTCAAAGGGATTTTGCATTAAAATGTCAGTTTTCTCCAGTGAAAACCAGGAAGCATTTGTCCGAGCTTGTGTGTGGGAAAAAGCTTATAGTGAATTATACATGACTCTTTTTTTATGTCTCTTTTCTTCATTATGTCTCCCTTCTCCTTCATTTCCTCTAACTTCCTTCAGCCCTCATCCTGCTCTTCTACCTGGTTTTCTACTGTTTCCTGGCCGGTATGTTTGCCCTGACCATGTGGGTGATGCTGCTCACACTGGATGACAATGTGCCGAGGTACCGAGACCGCGTTCCCAGTCCAGGTTAGTGTCTCTCCACACTCTCCAAACACGGGGAGGAAAACAGGGGCTTTCAGCTGAAGTAAATCCTCTTTTAGGCATTCATTATTCATATTAGCACCGATGAGCGGCTGTCACAATAGTGTGCAACATTACAGCTGCTTTTTGCATCGATCTATTTTGAAAGTCTCTTCCTGTGTGATATCAGCTGCGAGGCCAGGAATGTTTTCTGTCCAGCTGTAATTTGAGACAAATTCCAATGCTGGATGTGCATTAGTTTCTCCTGTTGTTATTGTTTGCTACTTTACTCAGTGTTTACATGGTTTTGTGTTTCTGGCAGGGTTGGTGATACGTCCACACTCACTGGACATCGCTTTCAATAAATCCAAGCCGCTGGAGTATGCTCAGTACGTCCAACACTTGGAGTCCTTCCTGCAGAGTAAGTGCACCTCTCTCGCCCCCCCTGATAGAACGATAAATGAATATTAAAACAGATTCCACTCTCCTGGACCTTTTACCAATGACTCATTCCTTTAATCTCAAAACATCCTCACTCTTTCTCAGGCTACAATGATACTGAGCAGGAGAAGAACCTTGACTGCACTCGAGGAGACTATTTTAATCAGGAAGACACCGAGGAAATGATCAAGAAAGCTTGTCGCTTCAAGAGGAGCTCCTTGAGTCTCTGTTCCGGCCTCTCCGACACCAACTTTGGATATTCTGAGGGACGACCATGCATTCTGCTCAAAATGAACAGGGTAACAAACATCACCAGACCTACC